TCATCCTTCTCGTCTTTTGCCTCTCAACTTCAAACAGCCAATACATGTGCAATCACATGAGAAAAGAAACATGACACGCATAAATATATTTAAAAAAAATGCCTTGCACAATCCATAAGAAGCCTCTTCTGCAGCACCAAAAGTGAGAATGCTTTTCTTATAGACATATTTACTTGTGTAGTGAGCTTGGTCCTCACTCAGGGCTCTCCAACTACATGTGCCACGCATAGTAAATAACGAAATCCAAGAGAGAGAGAGAGAGAGAGAGAGAGAGAGATAGAGAGGGAGAGAGAGAGGTGGGAAGAAGTGGCGATCAATGGAGAGGAAGAGGAGCGTTGGAAAGAAAGGGAGAAGGAGAGAAAGAGGGGAAAGAAAGAGATTAAGACAAGCGGAGTGACATGTAAAACTACCGCCTTTTATGGTATACTAGCCGAATTACTCGCACCTTGCTGCGTGTCATCATGTTTTTGTAAAAAAAAATGATGACTGATTTTAAATCATTGTTAAAATTTCAGTATTACGCAATGATCTTGCCGATATGACCTCCATCTTCTGGCTTTCTCCTTCTATATTTTGGATAGGAATAATTCCCTTCTTCCAATTTAAATTTAATTTAAATCAAAGGGGAAAAAATTCAATGGGGTTTTATGCAAAAACAGCTTGATCTGCCCCTTTTGGTAAGTATTTAAGGCAATACTTGATTGAATGAGCAGATTTCAACATTGATATGACGGTTGAATTGTCACAACAAATATGTATTGTAAGGCACTATCCACTGATTGGTCATTTCTTGCTCAACTTGACGTCCATATTGTCTCATTTCGATCTTGCCGATGTGACCTCCATCTTCTGGCTTTCTCCTTTAATATTTTGGATAGGAGTCATTCCCTTTTTCAAATTTAAATTTAATTTAAATCAAAGGGAAAAAATTCAGTGGGGGTTGTGTCTCCCACCCCGAGGATCCCTTATAATCGAAATGAAATCTACTTATCCAAGTAACCTAGCAGTCTTTGCCTTCTTCAAATTTAAGTTTAATTTATATCAAAATGGAAAAAAAAAATTCGTTGTGGGGTGTGCCTCCTGCGGACCCCCTTTGATCAAAAGAAAATACACTTATCTAAGGACTTTGGGTTATGTAGTTCCGCAATATATATAGTTATGGGGTTTTATCTCCAAAACCCTAGGAAGATTTTGATAACAGACAGAGGCTAAAATGTTATATAGAGAGATAAGACCTTCTTTCTCAGAACGAATAGGCTAGTTTGCCGGTAAATATAAATAGTGTTTAAAAACTAAGAATATAAGACTTGATAAGCCATTTCCATTCCTTAAGAAATCGTCCAGTGACATGGATCCACTGATACTTGGCTACTTTGTCAGTGATAAAGATGACATTTGTGCTATAGATGGAGAACTTATTTCTCAAGTTACTGTGAATCAAAATCCTTTTTGCAATACCAAGAGAATATCTGGATGAAAATGTGTCAATTCAGAAGATCTGCAGATATTTTTATCCAGATAGTTGGAAAACTGTGCAACATGTTTATGGTGTCATTCTTTAATATGAAGTTTTTTTTTCCCATTTTTTTTTAACATTTTAATAGGAATAGAAAGGCTCATCTATTGTCCGGTCCATACTTCTATATCAATTGAGCAGGAGTAGATTTTTATCCCTTGTTTCCTGTTTAGGATATGGTTGACAGGTTCTCTTTCTTTCTTTTACTTGATGGACTCCTTTCCGGCTTTATGCTTTCCAGCCAACTTTAATTTGCATAAATTTAAATGCCATGTCAATCGTGATCTACTGCCCTCCTGATGGCTCTTTTCTTTTTCTCTTATTACTAATGTTTTTTGTTCCTAATTCCTCCATATCCTGTAACTCCCTGTGTCCTAGTGACTGTACTACCTTGGTTAGGTGATACCGATGATATATATATATATATATATATATATATATATATATATATATATATATATATGTATGTATGTATGTTAAAAAAGTAAAAGAAAACGGTTAAATTCATAACCTCATGCTATTTCAAATATATAACACATACATTAATCCCACACGAAAATAATTTAAATACTAATTTCTCCGTGGAGAACTTATTTCTGAAGATACCGTGAAACCAAAACCCTTCTGCAATACCAAGAGAATATCGGGATGAAAATGTGTCAATCCAGAAGTTCTGCAGATATTTTTATCCAGATAGTTGGAAAACTGTTCACCATGTTGATGGAGTCTTGGGATCGTCAGCGCAGTTATTGTGCGAGCTGTGTAGGCAGGAGTTGAACAACATGGATTCTGTAGTCTGTGATTGTCGTTCTCAGTGGGTTCACCATGAAGAGAACAATGCCCAAGGGTAAGTTTGGGATTTGGATTTGGATATGCCTAAAGTGCTTAAAATATTCAGAGACTTTTATATTTTAATGACGAATAAGTGATTTTAACAAATGAGGGTGGAAAAGATTTTAAATTGTCTTAGCAATTGATGGTGAAAATAAATAAACTTCTGTGTTAAATCTGTGTGTTGTTACTATTAACATTGCCTGCATTCATAATAAAACTCTTTACCGGCCAAATAGCCTAGGGTCTATTTTACCGACACCGGTAAAATAAGCTTAAAAGCATGTTTGTCTATTTTACCGGTCCCGGCAAAATAGCCTCTTTTTTCTTAAAAACATCTCCCTGGTTTTATACGAGAAATTAAGGCAGGCTAGCAAGTGGTAAGAAACAAAAAATTCGTTATAAACAAAGAAAAAGTCATGGCTTGTTATGTGTTATTTGTCCTTTTATATGGCAGTGAATGCTGGACAATTCCTCCACAGATAAAGTGAAAACTAGAAAACAACAGAATGTGTTTCAACAGTAGGATAATGAGAATTTCATGGGCTAAGCAACAAGACATTCTTAAATGGCAGAAGACAGAAACACTTATACTCAGAATCAGGAAAAGATAGTTAAAATTTCTTGTACACATAATGCGGAAGGAAGGCTTGCATTTGATTGATTTGTTTTTACAGCTTATAAAGATTTTATTTACACTATTTACATCATTCGGACTGTTCTACTCATCTTAATTGCAATATTCAATATGTTCGGCCGTTTTACGCTCCGGCCTTATTCAAGTGGAAGAAGGCCGGAGCGTACAAAAATCGAAACGTCGTGAATATAGTAATAAAGCTGAGGACAACAGTCCGAATGATATCAATAGTGTAAACAGCTACAATACGTCATCTCAGAAATATAGACAGATCCTGAAGAAGGCCGGAGCGTATACAACGACCGAAACGTCGTGAATATGGCAATAAAGATGAGGACAACAGTCCGAATGATGTCAATAGTGTAAATAGCTACAATACGTCATCTCAGAAATATAGACAGATCCTGAAGAAGGCCGCAGCTTACAACGACCGAAACGTCGTGAATATGGCAATAAAGACGAGGACAACAGTCCGAATGATGTCGATAGTGTAAATAGCTACAATACGTCATCTTAGAAATATAGATGGTTATCAACATATTGTGGGTTATATTTAGAAAATATTTTTAGATTCTAAGAATCTGTTGGAGATAATAATGATTTACTGATACAAGATCTCTCGGTCTAAAATTCTGTAATTTAGAATGTTCGAAAAAAAATAAAAAGAATAACGTTTCAAATATCGTTCGATATTTTTACTTTATGTTAGATTGATTATAAGTGTTTTCACTGAATGAACCCTGAATAGATCGCCTAAGCGTGTATCCCGAATGACGCATAACTGAACTGATAATATGCCACACACTTACATATTTTATAGATTTACATGTTAATAAAATGTAATGTCGTACCTTGGATCAGCAGATGGTTGGATTATAAATACCGCTTCTTATTTAGGTGATAGCTGTTAGCGAGAAGTGAACCCTGTTGACGAAAAACCACTGACGACGAAAAACAGTTGAAGAAATCATTCTGGTTTATTCATTTGCTTCAACGTCGAGACGGTATGGATGTTAGTAGACTTAGGTAAAAAAAGAAAAGAAAAGGAGATCGAAGACTTCCAGACACTGTTCATTCCTCGTGATAGACTGCTGCTAACTGGCCAAAAACTTTACTCTTTTAGGGAGCTCATTCCTGCCAGTCATAAATCTCACCTCCCAACAACCCAACTCATCCTAAACCGAAATATTTGGATCGAGATTGATCGAAGATAGATACGTGTGTCTCCCCAAGTGTTTTGAGCTTTCATAGCCAATCTTCCACTCCCAGATGCTAGTAGACTTTGGTAAGAAATCGAAGAATTCCAAACACTGTTCTTCCTCGTAACGCTAACCAGAGATAGTTTGTCGATTGGGAGTCATATCGAAATACTTTGGAATACATTCAATCGGAAACCAAATTAGCAGACATGACATGAAGATATTTTAATCTGCTTGAATATGCGTCGCTCATATTAAAACCTAGAATATCACGTATATTTGGCTGTGATGTATGTACTTGGTATACTTTTATCAGTGTTGGTGTTATGCTGAATATATTGGGATTTTGTATATTTGTACCCCAGCATCACATTTTTGACCTGCTGCTCTCATTCAATTACAACAATAATTTAAATGTTTATTTTCACTCTTTGAAACCTGACACACAAAGAAACAAGAATACATTTTCTTTTTTTACTGACAAGACCAAAACAGCAAATTCCAGTAGCTAGGAAAATTGGTAAAGCATCTTGAAATAATACCTCAATGGATTTTAAATTCCGTTTCTCAAGTGATTGCTGGGACTGGATGAAAAAAGTGGGGTCAGATCGAAAAGTGACATCGTTTCCGAAAAATCACTGACGACGAAAACAGTTCTGTTTTATGCATGTACTTTAACATCAAGACGAAACGGATGCTATTAGTGTCATGTGGGCTTTTGACATAGAGTTCACTAGAGTTCTTGTGACTCTGATTGGAGCGGTTGTCGTTAACAGGCCAAACAGCTCCCCCCCACTCCCATCCTACCGGATTAATTAGGAAAAGTCATAAATCACAGCTCTCGGGCGACAATCGTTATAGATCGAAATATTTTGTATGAGAATTATCGAAGATTGATAGAAGTGTCGCATCAAGTATTCTTCCTCTTGCAACCCGTTTAATGAGCATCATCATATATCGCTACTTGGGCTCCTATACATTCTAGAACCCTCTTATATCTTTTAGCGTTTCTTTTTGTTTTGTTTTTATATAAAAGCTATATAGCACATAAATATAGAATATAAACGTTATTATTTTACACCGGTTCCTTGAGCGTCCTCGTTCTTTCAATCATTGATACTTTTAACTTTGCTACTAAGGGAGGCACGGTGAAGTAATGGATAGCAGATTGAGGAATCGTAGTGCCGAGTTCGAATTCCAGTCGAATCCATTACATTCACTTACGTGCTAATACTCTTGGGAAAGATATGAATCCTCTTCTTCTCCCTCTAGCTATGGGTAAATAGCAGGACAGACCGAGTTCTATAGCCTTGGATGCAAACTGGTCTACCACAGAAAGAAAAGGCAACATACTGCGGAAAGAATCTACCCCGTCAGTGATGTATACATGATCACCTAAGTGTGTATCAGGCATGGTACATAACTGACTATTTCGAGTTGAAAATTACCTGCAGAAATCTTCATTGCTTCCAAGACATCTTTGCTTGAATTCTCATATAGATCTTTTAATGATCGACAACACGGTTTCTATTGGGTTAATACTTTGGTAGAATTCTCTTGAATGAATTTCTTTTTAGATTAAAGCTTCACTCACAAATGATTGTCCAAATCTTTCATTTAACAGTTTTGAAGTGATTTATAGTTGTAAAACCTTTAATCCCGGGCAAATGTATTAATCAAATTTCCCCCTTGTTGCATTATAAGTTGTAGTCTTTGAAAGACTCAAACTTTATACCGGCCATCATAACCCGGACATTGTAGCTCAACATCCATCAATAAAAAATATTGCCCAATTTACACGTTTCTCTTTGTAATGATCACTTTAAGGTGATAGTTTAATTGCTCTCATATCTTTGCACAATATTTTGCACAATATTTTGCACAATATTTTCCACCTTTTCTTTACAGTTGCTACACAATCTTCTTCAATTCATTTTTTGCTGGCCAGTCTATTACTCTTTTAGTTTTAGAGGATTTTCGCATTGACAAAATTACAGACATAATAAGCGAAATAAACAACAATGGTTTTTATACCAGAAGACCTAAGTAGATCCATTTTCATAGCACTGTCTAAGAAGCCAGGTGCAAACGAACTCAGCCTAATGAGCCATATAACAAAACTTATCATCCGAATTCTAATGAATAGAGCACGCGGCAGAATTAGACCGGAAAAAGGACAAGAAGAGCGCGGGTCGTTAAAGACACTGGTACAAGAAATGAAGAATAACTATAAGTTTTTATTTACAAAGTGATAAACAAAGTTCGAATTACATAATAAAATCTCAGAGTGACACAGAGTTTATAAAAAAAGCAAAAAAAAATAAAAATAAAAAAACAAGTTGAAATTTTTGCAAAAATAAATATATTCCGAAAAAAAGGAACAATGTCATTTGATTAATACAAATTTTATTGTTTATTGCGATAACATTGACTTGCATAATAAATTATCACCAAGGGCGCGTGCACACCAACACACACACACACACACACACACACACACACACACACACACACACACACACACACACACACACACATATATATATATATATATATATATATGAATAAAGATAAAGGGAAAACTTTATTCATTTTGTCTTTTTAATTTTAGTTATGTCTGAAATTTTACAGATACACACAGCAACATACCCATGCACACACATACACAGACATACATACACATGTAATTAGACATTGAGGACATCGGGCTGTACAGGGATGACGGGCTCATGGTAGTGAGGAGTTCCGCAAATTTTAAAATAGATAAAATTAGAAAGATAATACATAGTGAATTCAGAAAACTAAATTTAAAAACTACAGTTAACAAAAAATTGAAAAGAGTAAACTTCCTCGATATAACTTTAGACTTAATGAACAACATATACCTACCTTACAGAAAACCTAACACTAACCCCTTGTATGTACACCCTAGGTCAAACCATCCTTCATCCACAATTACGCATATACCCTCATTAATAGAGAAAAGAATCTGCATGAACTCCGCAAATGAAGAAATATTCCAGAAACAGTAATTTTCACCACAATGCTCTAAGAAATAGTGGATACACGCACGCTAACATCAATTATATATATATAAAAAAAAAACAATAGTACAAGCCAGAAGAAAAACAGAAAAATAAAATCATTTGGTATACACACCACGTTCAACAATAAGCTAGGACAAAAAATCCTAGCTTTAATTGAAAAACACTTTCCTGCTGACAGCAAACTTAGCAAGATCTTTAATAAAAACACTCTAAAATTAAGTTACATCTGCACTGAAAATCTAGAAAGAATCATAAAAAACATAATAATAAAATCCTGAAAAAAACACGCATGCCAAAATCAAATAAATAAAAACCCTAAATTTAGGTTAGAGAAAAATAATGAAAAATTATGTGACTTTAGAAAGCCTGAAAATTGCCGCATAAATGCCGCATAGAATCTGTGGTATACCAATGCAAAATCTCATCCAACGAGAATCCAAATATTGAAAAGATATATATAGGATCCACGAAGAATGAATTTAAAATAAGGTGGAGACAACACAAAAGCTCCTTCAATAATATTGGAAATAGAAATCAGACATCCCTATCTAAATATCTTTGGCATTTAAAAGAAATGAATAAAACACCAAAAATAAAATGGAAAATAATAAATAGAACAAGAACTTAGAATGACCCATGCCCTTTATGCCTACATGAAAAACTACACATTATTAAGCTTCTAAAAAACGAGAATTTATTAAATCAAAGCCATGAGATAACGTTTTTTTTTGCTGACACCAACAAATATTCGCCTTAAAAAATTAGCATGAAAAAATTTAAAATTTTAAACTCTATAAACAAGTTCAATTAAAGCAATAGGTTTAAGAACACAACCCAATCATAAGCTAAAAAAATACGCTTTAAGAAGTCGTCAACAAAATATAAATTGTAGTTCAATACGACGTATTCACACACAAACAGCCCTTTTAGAAAAAAAATCTATATGCATACTAGTACAAATTTAACGGAAAAACAAAAGTGCCGAAAAACTTTCTATCGTTGAAAAAGACCAGACGACATGCGTTGAACGGGTGTCATCATGCTTTTGAAAAAAATGTACCCCGACCCTAGCTTGACTTAACCTCTTTTCGAAAGTAGCTAATATGTTGATACAATAGTTGTCAGTGAAAATGAATATCCTACCGCACCTGATTGATTTTCTCCATTTCCATAGAAACTAATATTATGAATGTATGCGCTTATAAAGATCCGTAAATTTCAAAATAAGTCATTGCAAAATTCACTTGAAAATGAAACAGAAATAGGTACTTTAATTTAAATTAATTTCTATAATTGAATTGGAAGTTTTTAGCTTCTGTTTTTGAAACGTGGTAATTCCTGTGTAGCGATGTAATCATATTTTTAAAAAAACTTTTTATATATATATATATATATATATATATATATATATATGTATGTATGTGTGTGTGTGTGTGTGTGTGTGTGTGTGTATGTTCTTTCCAACGTTATTTTAGTAGTTACCAATGTTTGGAATAGATGACTAGTTTCTTTTTTGTTATTTTTTCAAAACAGTGTGTATTACTGCCAGAGAGCATATTTTCTTTAGTAATTTTTTTGAGTGTGCCGGCTGGTAGACATAATATCCACTGTTTAAAATAATACAAAAAACAAGGCGTCTATTCTAAACACGGCTGTCCACTAAAAATAACGGTTGAAGTAATAAAGATGTCGAATAATATATATATATATATATATATATATATATATATATATAAATCACATTTTTTATATTCCAGATTTCACCGCAATATGGTTTTAACAATTGAAGAACATGTATTTCTCGTCGAACACGCATTTCAAGAAGGTGGTAGATACATAGATTTGGTGCGACGGCGGTTTGTTGATAAATTTTCAGATATACCTGTTCCACAGCGCAATGCAGTTCATAACCTTGTGAAATTTCGGGAAACGGGTTCAGTGGACGATGCCAAATGTTATGGAAGGGCAGCAAAGCTATCAGAGGAGAAACTGACGGATTTTTCTGACAGTATACTGCAGATTCCGAGAAAATCTTTACGAAAGTTTGCGCAGCAGCAATATATTGGCGTTGGAACCGCTCATAAGACCGTCATACAGAAATGAAAACTCTCCCTATACAAAATAATATCGGTATGAGAACTGAAAGCAGAAAAGCGACTGCGCCATTGCAGCTGATTTAACCGGTTTATCGAAGCTAATGGGTTGGATGTGACATTTTTTTTTGACTGAAGTATAATTCCATTTGATGGGTTACGTGAATTCGCAAAACACAAAATTGTGGCCCTCGAATAAACCTCACAAATTGCATGAAAAAAAAACCCTACATAGTCTGAAGTTTGGAGTGTGGGTTGCCCTTTCCAAACGTTGAATTGTTGGTCCTATTTTCTTCATAAACACAATAAAAATGAGTGCTATTGTTCGGATATTCTTGCCACCTTCATCGGTCAGATAACAAGTGAGGAAATCAATTACTCATGGTATCTCACAGAGCTAAGCAGTTTTTTTTTATAAATGTGTTGCAGACAGCATTATGTCCACAGCCTTGTGACCCCGAAGCTCGACAGTATGTTGAGATCGTTTGCGCACACTGGACGACTTGAAAGCAGTAACAACAGTGTTCATTCAGTCTATTTCAAGTGAACAACTGATAGCGGTGTTCAGAAAGAGAATAAGAAGGATTCAAGACTGTATCAATATAAATATAAGTGCATAGTAACTTTCCAGACACCATGTTCTTTATTTTAACGTCCTGTCGGATTCCGATCCATATTTGATCTGCATTTGATATATATATATATATATATATATATATATATATATATAGATAGATAGATAGATGAATGAATAGATAGATAGATAATATTAGTGGTAAATATACATACACATGCAAATATATATAAATATATATACATAAATGCATACACATAAATATATATTTTTTGAATAAAAAATTCCAAGAGGATAGAATCCAAGTAGAACTCAATGTCCAGGACGGAGTAAGGATATAATAAAAAGGCTTAAATACTAATATTCCATGGTCATCATTTATTCCATTGGAATCGTAAATACGATCCTTTCAGTAAATGCCCTTCAGTGTTAGTTTTCCTCGACCCATCTCTCCCTCACCCCTTTTTCTTTTCTTTTCCTCTCCCTCCCTATTATTCTGATCTTTAAGATTAGATCGTCTATTGTGTGTGTATGTCACCACAAAATGTATCCTTTCCAGTTACATCTTTAATGTATTAGACATCCGACAACATTCATATTTTTCTCATCTAAACCGTCTTCAACTCACCTCTCTAAAACTTCTCTCTGTTAAGTTTTAATCTCCCACCTTGTCTCGCCTGTTACCCCTCTCTATAGCTCTAACATTCGTCCCACACTCTCATACTTACACTCTCTCTAAATTCTACTTTTATTTCCGGAGTTGTTTTTTTTTTTTTGAATTTGTAGGGCTGATGAATTGGATCGTATTTACGATTCCAATGGAATAAATTATGACCATGGAATATTAGTGTTTAAGCCTTTTTATTTATATATATATATATATATATATATATATATATATATATATATATATATATATATATATATATATATATATATATATATATATATATATATATATATAATACACACACACACACATATGTCTGTATGTGTGTGTGTGTATATATATATATAATATTAGTGGTCAATATATATATATATATATATATATATATATTTCCATGCGGATAGAATCCAGGTATAGTTCAATGTCCGAGAGAGAGCAAGAATATAATATAAAAGGCTTAAACACTAATATTCCATGGTTATAATTTATTACATTGGAATCGTAATCACGATCCAATTCATCAGACCTACAAATTCAAAAAGGAAGACGAGAAACGTAGAAGCATTGACTGGTAGCATGTAACAGCTAGTAGACGATTGAGCCGGCTGGCACCATGCTGTTCAAGAAGGAGTCACAAAGATCAGGAAAAGGCGAAACCAATTGTTGATGATAAGAAGTGAACGAAGGAAGCAGAGACAGTAATGTCAGACCTCCATTCCATGTTCCAGTTTCATCTGCCACACCTGCAGAAGAGAGTGTCATGCAAAGATTGGCCTGTTGAGACACTCAGACGCTGCTCGCAAAACGACTGAATGTTTGAGCAAAGAGGATGGTATCATTATCTCGCGAGATAACTATAATAATAGTAATAATAATAATAATAACCGGCCACTCGTATTCGAGGATACCCGTCTACTAGGGCAGCTATCCAATCCCTATTGCAGACTCTCGCTCAGGCACATTTGTGTTTGTTCAACACCCACAAAGTCAACCTGTGGTTTATACTGCAACTCTGCTGAGCAGAACTTAGTTACAGTTTTTGGGAGAGAGTGTGTTAACTAAAAGGATCAACAATTTGAACAACACCAGCACACTCAAACCCTCGGTCACAATGACTTGTGACTTTGTGCTAACAAAGCTATCGACAGCCCCATCTTCCATCTACCCAATTTCACTCACAAGGCTTGGTTCAACCGTGGTATGGTTTTCAGGCACTTTCCAAAGATGACGCAAACTGGGATTGTCCCCATTCCAGACCCGATAACATCAAGTAGTCTCGATCCTAACAAATCATGGTGAGATTCGAATCCATGTCTCATGGTCAGAAAGCATATATATATATATATATACTTAGTCGAGTCAATCCAATGAAAGGCATTAAATCCACTAAAACACAAGGAGTTACTGGTTGTGTAAGAATTAGAAACAGAAACATTACTAATGAGCGAGAACAAAAAGAATAATCAGGAGGACAGTAGATAGCGATTGACGTTGCATTTAAATGTTTGAAGATTAAAGTTGGCTGGAAAGCTTGGAATCGGAAGAGAGTTCCACAATCGAGAAGTGCAAGAAAAGAAAATGTTAGCATAGAATTTACGGTTACAGCTATCCTGCTGAACTGGAAATTGGTGAGACCTCCTTGCCAGTCTAGTACTGCACTTGAATTCAAAATTCTAGGTACCATAACGAAGATATATATATATATATATATATATATATATATATATATATATATATATATAGTTAAATAATTCATCGAGTCTAGAAGAAACCTCAACAGAATGCAGAAAGCACTGGACGGCTGTTTCGTCCTATATTTGGGACTCATCAGCAGTGCGCATCCGAGAATTGAAACCCGGACAGTTACGTTATCAAGCAAACGTCATACCAAATGTTCCAACGGGCCTCGGTCACGAAGAGGACTGTGCCCCCACGAGCCACGACTACCATCCCCAAGTAGTGATAGTAGTGATAGTAGTCGCGACTGGTGGGGGCACAGTCCTATGGGTAAAAGAGAAACTCAGATGAGTTCCCCCACGGAATGGTACAGCTGTAATGGCGCTTACCTGTCCGGGTTTCAGTTCTCGGTAGTGGATGCGCACTGTTGATGAGTCCCAAATATAGGACCGGGTTTCCGGTTTCTTGTAAAGTCTACTTCACTTCTGTACTTCTAACACCACTGCCTGAACTTTGAAATCATATTTACTATTTATTTTCTCTTAAATATGAGTAGAGAGGTTCGCCTATCGTTGGGTTCACAACCCTCCTCGGTCTTTTGAACAGGAGTAGAGGTTTATCTCTTGTTTAGAATAGAGTTTCCGGTTCCTCGTAAAGTCTTTTCATTCTTTTTTCACTTCCAGTAGCACCCCCCCTTGCATCTTAGTGGCATTATCGCCTTGCTTGGGGTGAAATAGTTAAAACAAAAACGAAAAAGCATAAAACTGAAAAAAAGAAAAAAAAAAAAGAAAAAGAAAATTAAGGAAAATTTGTTACCATGGCAACCCTGCTAGATAAAAACGGCGTGGTCAGTTTGAAATCTTTTCAGTTACAACATTTTAAAAACGTCTCTGTGAAGAAGTCAATGCGATTTGTACATCGAAAATATGTTAAAGTGGTGATTAGACATGCAAGAATAAATATGGAAGATACAATGAGAAAAATAAACTGCGTATAACTAAATAAAACTAAATACTTCTAAATCAAAATGTCATTATTATTAAGGTGTCAAAAATATATAATTAAATTAAATTTATGATAATGTTTAATCACTGCCTATTTTAATATTATTTTCCTCAAGTATTATCTTAGCTAGAAAATGTGATATGTTATTAAAAAAATCTTTTATTAATCATATTGAATCATGATATCAGAAAATTGAATAATTCTTTTTATGTTAAATGTAATCATTTTCTTGATTTTAAAATCGAAATGATGGTTTATATTTTGTATAAAGGAGAAATATTTCGAAAATAACAATAAAGGTATTTTGGAAGAAAACTCTTTAGGAATTAAGTTATATATAAGTTCGTCCTTACTCGCGTCTAGCCCGGCCGCCATTACTAACGTTGATTGCATATTTTTTGACTCCTGTAGTAATGCAATAATGTGCAGAAACTTACTTAGTTGACGGCCTTTTCACTGATATTCTTATCTTCTTACTGACCTTGATTACTGCGTGCATTTAAAGTTCGCACATTGCCCAGTAATCAAACAAGTGAAGCTTCCGCACATGATTTCTCAAGGCAAACGTATGTAAGCAAAGCCAGTAATGACGGCCGGGCTGTAGCCGCGACGTGAATAAGGCCGATTTTCTATCTATCTATCTATCTATCTATCTATCTATCTATCTATCTATCTATCTCTCTGTCTATGTATATATATATATATATATATATATATATATATATATATATATATATATATATATATATATATATATGCATTCATAGTTTTAAGGTGGGCTATATTTATGGGATAAAGTCCTCTATCAAAGATATAGCGTATGTGCGTATGTAAAATATATATAAAAGTGAACCTGAAGTCAACACTCAGAGGCAGGCTGTTCCATGCTGGATGCCATCGATTGTGTCCAGCATGAAACAGCCTGTCGTCAGTGTTGACTTAAATGTTCACTTTTATATCTATATTTATACATACATACATATACATACATATATATATATATATATATATATATATATATATATATATATATATATATATATATATATATATATATATTGAATGGACTCTCCCGTCGGTTTCGATGTATGAGGATCTGACAGCTTATTGATTCAGTTACGAAATTTTGTGCGATAATCTTAAGTGGCATTTAAGACCCGCTAGTGATTTACAAAGGAGGCCACATATGGAACAAGTGTGAGGATTGTGAGATGAGATTACTGTTTTTTCTGACCTTTTAGATCTTGCTCTCGCTTCTTGAAGATGATTCAGACGAGCAGATTGAAATTTGCTGAGTCTACTAAAACACGTTGATCTCCATTCTACCCGCTACAAGGCTAAGCGCTCAAGGGTGTTATGTGGTATATTGACTGCTGACAAGTTGCTTTTCAGCTTGTCTTTGTATCTTATCATGGGCGTCCTACATTCCTGTAGCCCTGATCTAACTGGCTGTACATTAGGATCTTGGGTATTCTGTCGTCAGACATTCTCAAGATATGACCAGTCCACCGTAACTGAGACTGTATGATAAAAGTCTCGATTCCTTCAATATTACACCTGTTAAACAGGTCTACGTTAGATGTCCTATCTTGAAGCTTAATTCTACAGATTGCACGCAGACAGCTTTTATGGAAAACATCTAGCTGGCGTATATGGTACCTGTATGGAGTCAATATATATATATATATATATATATATATATATATATATATATATATATATATAAACGGGAAGCGTCAGGGTCACTTCTCGACCAACCTTCTTTCTGATTTGCATAAATGATCAACCTGAGAATATACTCAGACCATATGTATATATACTTACCGAGGATACGACGATATACGACCGCACCCTCTCAAACTCTCGACGATCAGAGATTGGTGGCTGAATTCTCTTCCCATTTAACACTAATTTCACAGTGAGCAAAAAAAACAAAACAAAAAAAAAACAAAAAAAACTGGCTGGTTACATTCCATCACCGTCGATCAGACCAGGAACTACCGCCAGTTACGATGAACGGTTATCCTCTCAAGGAGGCCCCGTTCCTTGAGAGGATATTGGGCATCAAACTCACACCCGACCTCAAGTGGAACTCTTACATACGATCCATCTCTAAAGATGCAGGTAAAATGATCGGCTCCTTTTACCGCTCCAGTAAGTACCCGACTCGTCATGCTATCCTCCATCTTCATAAGAACCAGATCAAAGCCGAAAATGGATGACTGTTATCATATTTGGTCGGGAGCTGCCCAACTTTCTCTTTCAAGTTTTGATAGAGTCCAAAAGACATAGGCTCTCCTCACTATTTCCTGTTCTCAGGCGGGATGTAGCCAACCTCTCACTGCTCTATCGCTACTTCCAGGGAAAGTGCTCGGACGAACTACATTCCTTGGTTCCACCTTACGTTGTAGAAAACCACGCTTATTCCCTCGGTATTACTTCTGTGAGAAATAAGTTCAATTCGAACAATTTCTTCCCGGGAACCACTGCCCAATGGAAGAGACTCCCAAGAGTATGTTTCACCGATCACTAAAACCTTAATATGGCCCTTTATTAGTTGTCCAGAGCACCTGATCGTTCGAAGTTGTCTTGTTTTGCTTGCTAGTAGTCTCCCGCAAAGTGCAATCTACCGTAAGATTTTAGAAATAACTGGGATGGACCCAGATACCTGTGAATTAGTTAGAGGTTATATCCAAGAGATGTAAAGCATAGGTTCTATCAAGCTTAGACTCTAGGGTTTTAGTTAATGTCCAAACATTGGCAACCAACTATTAAAAATAACAATTAACAACACTACAGTGGCAAGTTTATCTTGTAATGAGAAAGGAGAGCCTGGAGAATTTATGGATAATTCACAGGTCGAATAGGAGGAAAAAAGATATTACAAAACAACGTTGACATACCTTTTCGGGCTTACAAGGAATGACTCTCCTTGGTCTGATGGGGTGGGGCAGAGGGATTGCCATATTGAGAGCTGCATGAGATAGGGGGAAGTGGAGAGCCATGATCGCTTACATCCTGAAAGGACACGGAACATGTAAAGACAGTGGCGCGAAAGTATCTCCGCTTGAGGTTGTCTGGTAGTTCAGATTTCCTGATTACAATCTATTTTATTTGCTTACCTTAGCATATTTTTCAGAAGACGCCATTGTATCGAGACATTTTGTCTCATAAAGTATCAAGCTTTCTTTGAAATACATATCAATAGCGCTTATCGATATGAATTCTTGATAAAAAACACTTTCGTTGGCGTTTCTGTTGACAGCGTGCACAGGAGGCGAAATATATCATAAATTAAGAAAACACATCCTTATTTCATAGCGAAGAGCGCTTTCGATTAGCACTTCAGTCATTATCAATTAGATTCCTTTTTTTTGTCAATGAAGCGATGAGATTGAATCATCAGTTTTGGTTTTAAAGATGCAACGAAGAGACAAACAATGCTGATCACGCAAAACGAGTGGCTTTCAAACATTTTTGCTGATAGATTCTTTTCACGACATTTCAGAATCCCATTGACGTCCCCACCTCCCCGCAGAATCCAAGATTGGTTGATTTAAAAGATGTATTGCAGAAGAGTAGTTAGTTGAAGATCAATATTCCAGCAATTTGAATTTGCCAACATGATCTCGCAAATTCCCCCACCACAGGAACCCTAAATTGCATCCTTGGCCGACAAGCATCACTCTACACAATGAAGACCTACTATATAATCACTCAAATGGAATCTGATAATTAACTATCTATCTATCTATCTATCTATCTATCTATCTATCTATCTATCTATCTATCTCATTCTATTCACATCTATGTATCGATTTATCGTATTATCTTCATATCTATCTATCTATCTATCTATCTATCTATCTATCTATCTAATTCTATTTCTAATATATATATATATATATATATATATATATATATATATATATATATATATATATATATCGATCTATCGTATTATCTATCGCATTCTATTGACATTCATCCTATCAATCCATCGTATTATCTTCATATGTACCTATTTATCTAATTCTATTCGCATCTATCTATTCATCTATCTATCTATCTAGATATCTATCAATCTATCTATCTATCTCATTCTATTCACATCTATATATCGATGTATCGTATTATGTATCTATCTATTTATTTATCTATCTAGTTGTATTCGCATCTATATATCGATCTATCGTATTATCTATCTCATTCTATTCACATTTATCTATCTATCTATCTATCTATCTATCTATCTATCTATCTATCTATCTCATTCTTATTCACATCTTTCTATTCAATTCTATTCGTATCTATATATCGATCTATCTATCTATCTCATCTATGTATCGATTTATCGTATTATCTTCATATCTATCTATCTAATTCTATTCGCATATATATATATATCGATCTATCGTATTATCTGTCGCATTTTATTGACATCTATCTATCGATCCATCGTATTATCTTCATATGTACCTATTTATCTAATTCTGTTCGCATCTATCTATCTATCTATCTATCTATCTATCTATCTATCTATCTATCTATCAGCAGGCCATCGTAAACCAAAATGTTATTGAATCGTATTGTTCACTCGCTAGCAAATTGAATTTAATCTTGATTCAATGTCTCCTATGTTGTCAGCTACGCATTAGTTGTTTATTTTCTTTTTGCGTCTGTTGCCGTTATTCGAGCCCTGTTAACAATGTAATGTTGAATTTTAACCCAGGCAGGCAAACAGGCACAGCTGCACATAATTTTCAGACTTGTTACGTATCTCCTAATTTTGCCTTGTGCCGACCGACAAGCTGAACATCAATCTCTATCTAGTAGGTTAGCTAGAGGATCAGATAAAAATCGTTCTGAAAACGATCTTCTTCGAGAACAACAAAAGGGAAAATGACGAATGACGTTGAATCTTTGCGGATTGTCATTCGGAAAAGAAATCTTCGTAATCGGCAGTTACCATGTTTAAATGTTCCATCATTTATGTATTCATATCTCAGGTAGTTTCTTTATATTTATATAAATATATTGGAGGAATCACACACATACGCACGCACACGCACACAAGCACAGACACAGACACACACACACACACACACACACACATATATATATATATATACATATATATATATATATATATATATATATATATATAGGACTCACGCACCGTTATATAATATCCCATTTGCATGATATTTATTTCTTATTCATTGTCGCACAAAACCGAACAGGTATGAAAAATACATTCTTTTCAACACGATGGTATCCCCCCCACTCCAAATATGTGTAGTAGCTTATTTCCTAACATTAGCGACGCAACGGCCCCCGAAACCTTCCCATTGCCTATCACTTGTCAGCCGCCATTTTCTCCGTTTTCCCGCTTTTCGGCTTCGCACGCAGGCGTTCCGTCGCACCTCGCACCACCATGTTGTCATTTCTGTAAAACAGCCGACTTTGGCGAAGTCGAACGACGCTCGCCTCGATTTTTCTCTCTGATTACCAATTTGAATTAATTCAATTTTTGCTTTCTGTAATTAGATTGGATTCTCTTCAATTTAATTTGATTTTCGTCCTAATCTCATCCAAAGTAATTCGATTCAACACAATTTACTTTTTTGTCGTGTTTTTGTTCCAGTGTTGTATTGTTTTTCGTTCGATTTCCATTCAATAAGATTAGATTTAATTATTAATCGTCCCTAAAATAATAACGTCTGAGGAGGAATGAACAAAGACAAAGAAAACAAAAGGAATGACAGAAAGTGGAAAAAAAATAAAAGGAAAGAAAGAATGGAATAGAGGATGTATGTAAATATGCAATAGAGAAAGAGGGGAAAGTTGAATGTAAGTAAAAGAAAGAAAAAAATACAGAATGACATAAAGGAGGCAAGAAAAGAAAGAAAGAAGCAAGAAAAGGAGAAAAAAAAAGAAGAAAGAAACGATCAAAGAAAATAAAACGAAAGAAAGAAAGCGAGAAAGTGTAAAATAGACGAAAAAGAAAAAAATCGCACAATGTAATGATTCAAAAAGATAAAAGGCTAGAAAGGGAATGAAGAAATAAAGAAATTGACAAAGGAAAGAAGGAAGATTTGTAAAAAATTAAAAAAAAGGTGAAGTAAAAGAAATAGAGAGGGAAAAAAAAGGAAGAAGACAAAGTAACACAAGAAAAGATAAAACGTAGGAAAGGGATTTGAAGAAAAGAAAAACAAAGAGAAAATGAAAAGTGAATGAATGGAGGAAAAGAAAAAAACGTGTAAAGATAAAAGAAGTCGAGAGACGAGGAATATATGAAAGTGGAATGAAAAAGAGATCATGACAATAAAAAAGATTAAAAAAAAAGTGAAGGCAAAGAAAGCGAAGAACTAGAGAAAAGGGAATGAATGAAGGAAGGAAGGATGTTAGAAAGGAAGATAAAAAGGAAAGGAAGGGATAAAATAAATGGAGAATGAAAGAGAGGGGGAAGGTAGAGAGGAAAAAAGGAAGCTAGATATAAAGCGATTTTCTGTAAAAGTGAAAGAAAAGAATAAAAACTAGAGAATGATATATATATATATATATATATATATATATATATACTGAGAGAGAAAGAGAGAGAGAGAGAGAGAGAGTAAGAAAAAAAAAAGGAATCGAGGAAGAAAAATGGTAGTAAAAAATGAAAGAAATATAGAGTGAAAGAGAGGGGGAGGGGGAGGAACGAACGAAAGAAAAGAAGGAAGATACGGAAATTGGACTAAAGAAAGAAAGAAAGAAAGAAAGAAAGAAAGAAAGAAAGAAAGAAAGAAAGAAAGAAAGAAAGATACAGAAGTTAGACTAAAAGAAAGGGAGTGAAAAAATAAGAGAATTTGGATTAAAAGAAAGACGGAAGGGAAAAGAAAGGAAAAAAGAAAATTAAACTAAACTAATAAATAAATAAATAAATAAATAAATAAAGAAAGAAAGAAAGAAAGAAAAAGAAATATGAAGGCCAAAAAAGTAAGAGAGGATAATGACAAATCGTACGGGAAAAGATTTTAATTATCAAATTAAAGAGAAAAAAAAAACTCAATTCTTTCTATTCTTATAAAAATGGCGAAAGGTCTTTATGTTATGTCCATTTGTAGATTTAAAAAAAAAGAGAAAAAAAACTACCTTCCTTTATCTTCGATCGCTTTCTGCTTTATACGCACACATCACTCTCAGATTGTCCTTGTCTGTTTTCAAAACTTAATCTCTTATTTTATAGGGTTTTTTTCCCCAGTCTCTGTCGCCTTTCTCTATCACTCTATCATTTCTCAACAAATCCTCAACACTCCATCTTTCTTTTTTCCTTTCTTTATTCACTCACAGAAATGTGGACAATAATACAACCATCTAGATAATGCGTAAAAGACAACAGAATCAATTTTGAAAAATACACTTAGGCACGGTTAATCAGAATTGATTTTCTTTCACGGTTTATCGACCCTTTATGGGCTATTTAAAGCCCAAACATATCTTTTATGGTAAAAATATTAATTATGTTTTTTGCGAGTGAATACTATATTAATCATTTTTTGAGAATACATTGGCTTTTTTTTTCAGATAAGTCCTACTTTTTAACGCATAGCTAGTAGGAGGAGATTGATTCATACCTTTCCCAACGATATTTAAACATAACAAACCCAACTGGAATTTGAACTCGGCTTTCAGATTTCTCATTCTAAGCCACTACCCAATACACCACACGGATGGCCCGACTGCCAAATAAGTATTTATTGACTCAACCTAATTATTTGGCAAAGGTTAATCCAGACGGTCTTCTGAGGTTGTGTTTGCCAGCAATTAAAATCCATATTCAAAACTGTTTTCGAATCTGACAGAAAGGAAACGGTCACGATTGTGTGTCCACCTTTACTCCGCGCCCTTTCTTAACAAATTTCCGCTTGAGAATATCAAGTGCTGTAAACTTGGATGTGCAGATGGTGTAATGGATAACGGCGCGGAATTGGAAATCGGAGAGCCGAGTTCCAATTCCAGTCGGGTTCGTTACAGTCACTTGCGCACAAATATTCCCGGGGAAAGTATGAATCCACATCTTCTTCTTCCCCCAGCTAAGGATTAATTAGTACAACTTGTATCGCTGAATATATAAGTATCTGTAAATCATTATCATCTCCCAAATATTCTTACAGTTTAAAATTAGTTTCTGGCTGAAGAAGAAGAAGAAGAACTACATATGTAAGATGTGTGTAGAGTGTACGGATATCAGCGCTGAAATTGAAATCAGTGAACTGAGTTCAATGCCTGGGTTTATTCGTTGTGTCCACATTTGCACAAATGTCTTTGGGAAAGGACCCGTCGCTCGTTCACTTCCACCAGTCATAGGTTAGGTAACAGGTTAAACTGGGATCTCTAGTCTTGATCTCACCATTCTAAGAGAAAGAAAACGCTGAATTCCAAAACACGGAGACGGTAACGGGAAACCACTTCCTTATCTTTCCAAAGAAATCAAGTTAATAAAGAATTCGAATTTGCCAAGTCTTATTGCCTATATCCTGAAGGGAGATGGCATTAAATAAAAATCAACATAGGTCCTTTCTACTTATATATAATTTCGCTGATCTATATATATTTGAAAATATAGAAGGAGAGCTAATTGTTATTAGTATTTGTTTTTGGCCATATCATCGAAAATATAACAGATTTTCCCCTAAAGAACGAGTAAAACTACTTAGCATGGCTTATACGTTGAAAAGACCGGTTCTCGTTCGATCAATGAAGTTAAGCAGCGCTGAGCCCGGTCAGTACTTAGAATTGACTTGCCCCTCCTACTGACGATAACCTCAGGCAGTACGAGATTTACTGGCCAATTGATGGCGAGATTTGATTGCTTTTTCCTTTTCGATTTTGGTAGCGACGAGACATCTCTTCTACGTCTGCCGTCATGTAAATATCTCAGAGATACATATGGAAGGTTGTTTTGAACACTTCACAACTTTAACTTCGTTTCTCATTTTTCTTTTTTGTCAGATGTCCGTTTAAAATATTTATTAATACTTGTTTGTTTAAATTCCATGCTTTTTTTTGTTTCTCATTTTTGTCCAGACTCACATGAGTCCGCCATTATTGTTTGCAGGACAAATTAATTTACTGAAAAAACGTCCACACCTCGCACCAAAAGTGATGAGTCCTGCAGCATTTATATCTATCTATCTATCTATCTATCTATCTATCTATCTATCTATCTATCTATCTATCTGTGACTTATCACTATCTATCTATCTATGTCTTATCACTATCTATCTATCTATCTATCTATCTATCTATCTATGACTTATCACTATCTATCTATCTATGTCTTATCACTATCTATCTATCTATCTATCTATCTATCTATCTATCTGTGACTTATCACTATCTATCTATCTATGTCTTATCACTATCTATCTATCTATCTATCTATCTATCTATCTATCTCTCTCTCTGTCTCTCTCTCTCCCTCTCTTTCTCTCTCTCTCTCTCTCTCTCTCTCTCTATATATATATATATATATATATATTGAAGATAACAGATGATTTTAGAATTTTTTTTATGGCGGATTTATGGATTTAGTTTTCGTAGAAAATCCTTTCAAAGATGCTAACTACCCCACCAACATTGAATTTCTATAAAATATCTTTTGTTTCCAATGAGACCAAAACTTGTAAGCTTAACAAGAACGAAAACGGGTTGTGGACAGCTTGTTTACACAAGGGTTTCCAACCTGGGCGATATCACCCTCCGATGGACGATTTTAACTGTTGGGCAGGCGATGAGCAACTGAACAGAAAAATGGTGGCCATATGGAAACTTTGGTGGGCGATAGAGAATTTTGAGTATTCAAAATGAATTTCACCACATATTACCTGAAAAATTTTTTAAAGGAGATATGTAAAGGACGTGTATTTAAAAAGCAAAAAAAGAAAACAAAAACATGAGGTTTAATGGAATAACTGCGTCATATTCTTTGAGAAGATATAAATATTTCCGCAAACAAGGAATATTTTCGTATTTTCTATAGTTCAGAGATGGATCATTAATATTCATATAGTTCCGTCCAGGGTAAGACCTTAAACTACATCCGCGTCCTGAGTAAGGCGTTAAACTACATCCGCGTCCTGGGTAAGACGATAAACTACGTCCAGCAAGCAAGGCTTCTGATCAAGAGGTTTTAAGGAGCATGGAACTAACTCTTAATTGCTGGTGTTCCCAGATCCACCCTGACCCAGGGTAGTAGCACCTGTTAGGGCCCCAGTTATGGGCAAATAGTTAACTATTATCAGCAATACTTCTTTGAAAAAAATTATTACCAGCAATACAATTTTGAAGGTAAAATATTACCAGAAACAGATTTTTGACAAAACAAAATATTACCAGCAATAACAAATTTTGTTGGCATTAAATAACCCATTGAGGTTGATAAGCCGTAAAACAAAATAAAGCAAACCAATCTAAACCAAAGAATACATATTCTATTCATACGAATCTATCCTAAAAATGTC